CGCCCAGGTAGTTACCCCACGGTACATTCTCATTCTCGTGCTCAATCGCAATTCCGACAATGACTTCGTGCGTTTGGTGGGACCGGAAGCCCGTATATTGTCTCTGCACGAGCTCCGGTATAACGGCTTCGACAATTGGGCGAAAGATAAAGCGTATCGGTGCGGTCCGAGTGCAGTGCCCCTTTGCTGTGAGCGACTACGTGAACTGGATGAGCGGAGTTGATGTCCTCGATCGACTAGTCGTTTTCGCTGCAAATGTCCGGAGTATTAAAAAAACCTGTCTTAGGCTACCCGGACATGGGCATAGTAAACGCGTATATGACCACAACGGGGGGGGGGGGCTAAGATCAAGGGGATGATTGCAATGAAACGCTCAAAGCGACTTTTCATTCTCCAAAATCTGTTTCTTGAACTCAAAGCCGAAGATTTTGCAGGAGTAGAGGCAACGCCGCCCGCAGCGTGCCAGAAGTGTCAGAGCATTCCAGTTCGACTCACGCACGCACGCCAGCAGTCCGAAGCCTGGGTCATTGTGACTGGGGTCCAGATGCGCCGGCAGAGATCGTGCAAGATCTGCGCCCTTGCGTACTGGAAAGAAGAAGTCATTCGCAACTACGTTCTTTTGCAAACGATGCTTGGTTGACAATGCCAGGTGTTGGCTGTGCAACCGGCTTCGACGGGAACACAAGCGCATAGCTAAGACATGCTTCGACATCTGGCATAATGACTTCGACGCCTGCCAATCCATTCCACTAAAACCGGGGAAGCGCATCGTGCTCCGTCGACCCGGCCAGAAAGCTGTTCCAAGAAAGAAGAGTCGACGAGAACTTCGGCTTGTGTGCGATGGCGGTACCTACAGCGGCAACGGCGGAAAGAGCGAGAATGGTAGCGCTGACGGGTGAGGGTGATCTGCGTGTCAGTTGATAAGTGATTTGTTTGAAATGCACAGTTTCTTGAACCAACGCACCTTCTTTCTGGCATTTCTTGAAGTGAGTGGACAGTCGGTGAAGCAATTAAACCATATGTTGGTGGCACAAACGACATGGAGCAGTCAGACAGTCGCTCAATGCCGTCAGAGTTACGACATTAAAAAGGAATCCTTTTGCGAATTAATATAGCTAGTCTCAGGCTAAACGGGCACTCATACAAATACGAAGTGACATCGCTATGCCGTATCTTACGACATGCGCTACGCGTTCTGGGTAAGTACCGTCCGGACGCAAGGTGTTAATGAGTCATAATTAAATTCGTTTTAATTTAAGAACAAAATTAAAAAAAGTCTGTTTTAGCTGTCTTAAAAGTCTGTTATAGCACTATAAAAAAGAGAGAGAAAAAGTGTTTCTGCAAAACAATTAATAATTACATATCCACATGTAATAACACCGGGAGCCCAATTTTGATTTCGATTCTAATTTAAGCTGCTACTTAAGCCACCAGTCTGGTGACATCTACTGTATAGAGCAACCTGGCTAACACAAGTCATCTTTGATGTCGATCCATGGCTAGCAGAGCATGTCCGTAATCAAGCCACTTCCAACTTTTGAAAACATCTATTGTACATGTACTGTACCCATCGCTTGATAGATTACAAATCCAAGTGCACCGACTATTAATACTTACTAACCCCTTGAAACCGGGAGCCTGCATATGCAGCTTTTCAAAAATGCTTAACCTGCATAATGCAGGTAAGCCCAAATATGACTTAAAGTTTGTATAGATACTTTTTTTTCAAATCCTCGGCTATACAAAATCTAAGTCAAAAAGAACCCTACAAGTGCAGGCTCTCTGTACGTGTGGTAGCATAGAAGATACACATAACAAGCGACGAGACAGATAATATTTCTCTAAATTTGAATATAAGATATAAAAGTTTATGTGGTAAACATAAGTTTTACATTATTTTCCAAAGGTATTTTTTCGCTCCCTCTCCAGCCACTCATTCGAGAATTCGCGCTGGAAAAGAACGGAGCCAGGCTCTCAGCATGAAATGGTTGCTGTCCGAGGCAAGTACGTGAGCAGTCAAAACATCCCGTTTGGTGTGGCGTGGAAGGAGCTGAAGAAGCAGGGATGGACATTTGTAAGACCGCGAGCTAAGGACTTAGATCCGAGATGGAAGTACGTTCGCCCTGGCGGACATGTTAACGGCACAAAGGAATCGACTTTTTTCTTGGGGAGGAAGAGCTGTTGGAGTACTACAGTGGTGGTATGCGAGATGGTGGCTATTGCTGGCTACACAGTCTAACCAATTGTTTGTATGATGTTACAGCTTCCAAAAAGCCTTCGTCTACCGGTTCTGGACCATTCCAGACGCCACCAGCACCTCCTGCTGATCCTGCTGTCACAACAAGATCACCACCCGCTCAAGCGGCCACCACCCAACCCACGTCTCCACTTCAACCTTCTTCAGGTACTCAGCAGCCTTTGACGCGATAAACGCAAGTGAAACGCACTCGAAAAGTGCCCAAGCCGGCTGCCACGGACAAGCAGAAACGTCGCCGCTCATGTGAGTACCAGTTGCATATTCATGATATGATATGCAGGATATGCAGGATAACTAACTAGCATTATGCATTAGCTCATGCAGTACATCCGCCCGAAGAAGCCCGTACGCTATCCTGAATATTTCATCGACCACATGCATATTGATGCAGTCTAACGCTTGTGAATGCGCTATAGTTGACGACGCCATATCTGATGAAGAAAAAGCGCCAGTGCCAGTAGCTGAACCCGTTACTCAAGTCGTCGCTCAAACCCCCATCGTGTTGCCAGGTCCTCATGGAGGTGACGAAGAAAATGTTGAATCGGGGGACGAAGGGTATTCCAGCGTTGAGTCTGTTGAAGAGACAAACGAAACGGGTATGTCTTACAATGCGATTCAGTGCGTATGCTGCATATTCATGATACCTTATACTGATTATTCATGATAACGATTTTTATGCTTGTGTTACGAAGATATACTTGCAGAAACAACTGACCGGTTGAATGTGGACGCCCCGGGCGGAAGAGACCCCAACTATGATGCACTTGAATCTGGCGATGAAGCGGCAAGGGACGACGTTGTCACAGATACCCAGTCTGATTGCAGTGGTTGGGTATCAAATGCCAGTGCGGCCGATGGATCGGTGCCGAAACCCTGAACGAGACGAGATGGATATTGCGCTGGCAAAAGAATTTCTGGATGGATTTGGAGGCACCGACGCTGTGTTGGCGGGTAACTTGCTGGACAGAACACTGAGAGAGTTTTCGACAATGGATGGGGCCCAATTCAAGAACCGGATGTGTATGAGGAGTTACAGACGCCTTACGTTCCTGTTGAAGGCGCTAGTAGCTACCCGGGACTTCACCAAGGCTATTCTGGACCCACTCCTGAAGTACTGCATCGTGGAAACTCGCCTATGGCGTTGTTCTTTTACTTCATGCCGGTTGCATTGTGGCAGCACGTTGCTGTCTGTTCAAACAAGTACCAAAGAGATATGCTCCACGCTCGTGTTGACGATGCCTATAAGCGCCACAAGCGACGCTGTCAAGCGAATCCTGCCACGAAGAAGAAGACACGGCGCGATGTGCTACAAGAGCTTCAAGCAGTTCCTCCAATCAAACCACACGAGCTGTGTCGCTTCGTGGGACTACTGATCGCGCGAACAATTTGCCCAAACCGAGAAAAGCTGGCAAACCACTGGAAAACCACCGACGAGGGGGCGATTCCACGTGGAGCGTTCAGTTCTGTGATGGCACGAGATCGATTCATGGATATCTGCAGAAATCTACACTTCAATGATAACGACGACCCAAGAGCGACCACGGATCGAGCCTGGAAGATCCGCAAGGTTGTTGAAGTGCTGCAGCGGACGTTTCGCGAAGGATACGTGCCACCTGCAGAGCTTTCATTTGATGAAGCCATGCTTCCAAGCCGCAGCAGATTCAGCAAGATGCTGGTGTGGCGGGGCACGCTTCTACTCATGTAGCACAGTTGGTGGATGAATGGAGGACCTGAGATACGCAGCCGAAGCGGCGTCAGCGTGCGTGTAAAGTTTGCTCTCTGATGCAGGGCGCGAAGCCCCACACGACGGCGTACTACTGCTCCGAGTGCGATGGTAATGCGCCTATCTACCTGTGTATGCACCCGAGGCATGTGATTCGCGGAGTCTTGACAACCTGCTTTGACGTGTGGCACAAGGAATGGAGTGAAAGAAAGCTGCGACCTTCGAACTAAGAACGCCGCATCCGTATGCGCCCAGCAACTCCAACGAAAGGTGGTGGATCACGCAAAAGACTGAGAGATGCTGCTGATTAAGTATCATACATATGCAGGATACCAAAGGGTGAATATGCATTCTATCATCAGTATTTGTGTTTTTGCGAAGTAATGGCTGCAGTGAAAATTGTCTTTCTATATCTCTTGCAGGTTGAGAATAAAGTGCAACCGTCGATTCATTTTGCTTACTATGCAGTCCGTGAGGCCAGAGCCGGAAGCCCATGCTCAGATTATATTATAGGCTTCATATTTGTATGAGCCATAATAACTGAACTTTTGATTGCTCGCCACTTGGATGGGAAAACTTCAATATATGTACGCAATTGGACAGTTTCTAAAATTCGACATTCAAATATCTCTAAACTTGCAACCGTTTCTGCACCCGCCTATCGCTGTACTACCAGACGACCGGAAGTCAGCATCTATGTTACGGAAATGGAATGAATAATGCAGTTTAGAACCTAAACTTGCAGCCGTGTATGCACGTTAATATGCAGTTTGCACCGGTTATTACAACGCTCGGTTCGTCGACCATCTCTGTAACAAGTAAAAGTATACAAACACCAAGTCAAACTATCTTGCATATGCAATTTAAGGAAAGGAAAAATCAGCCGGTTTGAAGGGGTTAATAAAAGTTGCTGTGTCTCTTATTGCCTACTGTAAATCCCCGCATGATGATTATCATGCTTTCAACTCCCCCTTTCCGTTTCACGATCAACTCCAGAGCACACTTTCGACCACTTCAAGAATGAATCCTAGAGCCAACCAGAGCTACCACGCCGTTGTGTTGACATTGGTTGCACTACTGGTGTGTGTCAGTGCCGGATCCATTCCCTCCGAGTTGAACAGTATGAAAATATCTGCCAACAGCTTCGACACCCGTGTCAGACGGTATTTGAGAGCACCAGACCTCACCACCGAAGATCGCGCATTCGATGCTCTAGGTCTCACGAAGCTTAAAGATGTAGCTACAACTGGAACTCAGAAGCTGCAAAAGCTGGCGAGCAACGCAAATACCAAGATGACTTCGAACAACCAGCAGGCCACGGACAAGCTGTTTAAGAAATTAAAGGTCGGCAAAGTAGAGCAGAACATCTTTGAGAGCTCGCAGTTCAAACAATGGGCCGCGTCTGTGGCTAAGTCGTATAAGAAAAACGCCGAGGCTGGAGACTTTGCCATGGTCTCGACTCTTTCGTCTCGCTACGGTGATGATGTTCTCGCGAGCATGGTGATTACTGCAAAGAGCTCCCAGACGATTGATCCTAGCTTGGAGAATAAACTTATGTCCTCATTGCTGACTAAATGGCAGACTGAAGCACGGACTACAGACGACGTGTTCAAGCTTCTGAAACTAGATATTGACGAGGTGAATCTACTGAAGAGCCCCGTGCTGAGCACTTGGATTTCTTACGGCCACAGGGTCGGAGGTAAATCTCCGTACGAAGAGCTATTCAGCTGACTGCACGCTACGATGATGAGGGACTAGCGAAGATGATTATTACTGCTAAAGATGACAAGGTCGTGTCGTTTATCAGGACTGACATGACGAATAAACTGTTCGAGAATGGCAAAGCAGTGGGAAAACCGCCACGGACGCTTCGAATATTCTCAAGTTAAAGGAGGAAGGAGCTTCTCTTCTGAAGAATCCAACGCTCCCGATTTGGATCTCCTACGTCTACTCGCTCAAGCAGAATCCTTATGAGCTGCTACTACTGAAGTTTAAGGCACACCACACTGACGCTTCCGTGGCAAGGGTGATTGCTTCTGCGAAGTCGGATCAAAACTCGATAATCATTGTCCAGAACATGCAGAGAACACAGATCGAGAGTTGGCTCAAGGCCGGAAAAAGTGACGAAGAGCTGTTCAAGCTCCTGGAGCTTAACAAGGCAGGAGACCAAGTGCTTGAAGATCCGCTGTGGAGAACTTGGGTCGCATATCTGAAAAACTTGAAAGGGGACGCTGACAATAGAATGTATTCGGTACTAAAGACACAACTTGGTGAGGAGCAATTGACGAAGATTATTACCAGAGCCAAGACGGTCGGTAGAACCAAGGCAACCGCAACGAAATTGGAGCTGCAGGTTTGGGGAGCCAGCGGTCGAAGCGCAGACGATGTTTTTGATCTCTTGAAACTGGACGTTAAGAAAAGCGACGTAGTTGAAAGCGTCGCTTTCAAAACGTGGTACACCTACATGAAGACGATGAAACAATACAATGAAAAAGCAGTCATCACAAAGATGGAGAAACATTTCGGCGAAGTTCGTTTGGCTCAGATGCTTGCAGCTTCAAAGCGGACTGCGACTGACGAACCTACGAAACGGTTTCTTCGTGATTTACAGCGGAGCCAATTCTCTAAGTGGGAGGGTGAAAAAAAGAACCCCAAAACCTTTAGCAGCATGCTAAGTCCAAGTGATCGCAACTCTGAAAGCGACAGAGTTATGAGCGATTTCAATACTTTTTTCGGTGAAGGGATATTCGACATTCTGCGCATGGGTCGACAGTAGCTGGTAGATTTAGAGGTAGGAAGCACACCCCAAATTTCTTCGATCCTAGAATATCCGCTATGTTTTCTTAAAATTGAATAAACCACTGATCTTGATTTTTAGCAACTTGTGTTTGAATCGAAACGTATCACTACTAATAGGATTGGGGCATACATGCAATATAGATACATGTACAGTCAGAATTTCTGCGAAGAACTACCAGACCCCTATCTTCTGGCTACAGTTTTTGTTGTATTTTACTGTACTATAATACAGTATTTTATCCAACATTTGTTTAAGTCTTAAAACGAATAAGCAAAATAAATGAACATAGCTCTAATCATTCAGATACCGTAAAACTTATGTGCATTCGGACCGCTCATAATTTATCCTAGACTAATTTCTAGCCAATGAACACCGCCCAAAAGTGGCGTTTTCAATTAACAATCAGAGTACACAAAATACTTGTTTTTGCTTGGTAGTTCTTAACTGTCGAACGGCCGTTTGCACATAAGTTTTACTGTACACTCAGACGATTGATTATTCATTGGTCATGTTCTGCTCTGTTTTTGCTGGGCCTTTCAAAAAAAGATCTCAATCGCATGATAATTTCATCAAACAAGTAATATCAGATTTTTTAGTAGCAACGTGATTGAAACACTTGAACGGACTTCACTCTAATCGAAGCTCGTGTCAACTCAGAGAATCTTTGCATAAGTTTACAAAATAAGCTAAAACGTACCTTTAAACCTAGCCCTTGTAAAATTGGCCAAAAACACATATACCAGGTAATGAAATGTACCTCATGATTTTTTCGAATATTTAGCAAGAAATCTTAAGATACTTGTATTAATCGAGCCGAAATGATCTACCATTATTTGGATATTAACGAAATTAGATTGGCTAGATTAATAGGCAACAGGGTGCCTTCCTAACCCTACATAAAACGGTAAAATCACACATCTTTTTAATCACCTTATAAGCCAGTTTTTGTCAGGCCCACTTTAAAAACGTCTTGCCAAACCCACAGATAAGAATCTAGTCTGTCCCTACCTTTAAGCTGACAAAATGCTACGTTTTCATATTCACCGTGGATAAGGACACATTTAAAATGAACAAAATAACTGTAAAACGTCTCTATATTAAAGGATATGGAGGTGTCAGATCCCCCCCCTCCCAGCAACCTGTGTCAGTGGCAATGATTAGTCGCTATGGCATGCTTATAGCGCTTTGACCGGCGACCCAGACACGTTGCAAATTGGAAGGAGCTCTATCGCTTTCGTAAGTATTATTAATTCTTTTCGAAGTATGGTAGCTTACGCCAACTTGTGGCGAGAAGATTCGAGAGATACATGTACAGGAAAAAGGAGCCATTGAGGCTTACCACGGTACAGCTTTATTGCGTACTACTTGACTTATTAATCTTCACCATCAGCTCTCTCTCTCTCTCGACGTCTGATTTCTTGACGCACATAATAGTAAAAAATTTAAAACCGGTTAAAGAAAGAATGCACATCGAAGCAAACCGAACAGTCAGAGAACAAATGTCTGATGTTTAGCGCATCCATCGGTACCATCATACGATAGAAACAACGTACCAGCTCCGATTCCATTAGCAATTGGTATCGCATCCTCGAACGTCATCAACAAAGGCAGCCGCATAAACACTCAGGAAGCAGCCGCAAGATATGCCCTTCAATGGTTAAGAGCAACCTTTACAGATGAAGCTGTCCTATTCAACTTCAAAAGAGCCCACTTCGCAGTTTTCTTTCAAGTACACAAATAATAACGCTTTCAAACGCAAAATGGAGCTCCGTCGTGGAATGCTCTTGGTAACAATTTCGTTTCTGCTCTATTTAGGTTCGGCTTTGATGTTGGCTAGTGCTGGACTCATGGCTCCCAGTGTGAATCACGTTCGTACCATCGGCGCACTAGGGCGCCAACAGTAATGCCTCAGAAGATAGAGTTAGTCCCAGTATTACGAAGATGACAGAGCTGGTTCCAAAGATTTGCTTTCAGAAGCTACGAGACTGCGCGAAATCAATCTTCAAAACGGATAACCAGCTCACCATGGCTACTCCAAGCTTTCCGAAGTTGAGGCTTGATAAAGCAAAGTCCGATTGCTTCTTGAGTGAAGCATTCGATGAATGGGCTCGTCATGTACTCAAAATCTAGAACAATAGTCAGTCCTCTGCTGACGATGCGATGTTCAACACGTTTGGGTCTCACTACGGCGACGATGATCTAGTACACATGTTGACTACTGCAAATCCGACGAGTGAAAACTCGATTGTCACGCGGTTGAGAGAGATGGAAAACTGCAGGGAAAAGTATGAATGTAGTAATACATACGATCAGAAGACTTCAGCATTGGGCATGTGGATTAACAATGCCTTCAACACGCTTGAGAAACCAGTAGACGAAATTGTGAGAGCACTTAAAGCACACAACGACGATGTACTCGTAGCGAAATTGATGGCTCTGTCAAGAAACGACGTCAGCAGCGGCATGGCTTGGAAATTGGAGAGGTCGCTGACGGAAACGTGGCAAAGAAACGAGAGTGTAACTGGAGTGTTTTAGCTACTCAGATTCAACGAAGAAGGCACGTCGCGTTTTACAAATCCTGCGTTGGGGATTTGGGTGTCCTACGCGATGAGGAAGAGCCAGGATCCCTTTGAGTTTGTTGTCAGCCATTGGAAAGAAAGGCATCGATGATGCGTAATTAGCGAGGATGCTCGGCACGGCAACTAAAAGACGTCTCGAAGACCCTACTAGCAATGGGTGGGTTGCCGGGAATGCCGAGTTCCATTTGCTTAATACATGGTAACAAGAGGAAAAGAGCGGCGAGCAGGTCTCCACAATGGTTGGACTTGACAGGGAAGGGGGGTCGTGCTGCTGCAAAGTGTTGTAATTCTCATTCGATATGAGCGCTAATAATTGAGTGCAGCTTACGATTACGGGGGTTGCGTTTGGGAACAGATATAGGTAGGTACCTTTGAAATCCACTTCAACCCTGACACAATATGTAGTTTTAGCTCTCAGCAATTTGACATTTTATTCGCACGCTTAGGATACCATGATACTATCTGATAAGTACTTATCACACTCATCCTAGCCAGTCCGCGTAAAAGCAGCCATAATGCTGCGTAGAACACCCAATCGAATTTGTCCTAGCAGCTTGGATTTTGATGCCTACATAATTCATTTTGTCATATCAGACGCTCAGAAGGACACAATTTGACTTTTTATTGTTAAGAGCGATTCCAGTTTACTACCGGTAAGTTAGTAGCTAATCGCAAAAAATATTTTCGTCAATATTTACAAATATACTTTAAAGTTAGTTTTGGGTTTTCCACGTACGATTTTATTTTTTTTATTTTTTGAGCAGACGTACAGCCAAAAGGTGAAGCTCATCAAAACAAAAAATTACAGTCGTTGCCGTCTCTTACTTTGGCCGGAGAAGTGGACTGCAAAGAGGCTCAACAAGACGATGAGCCTTAAACACAAGAAGCCGTTCTAGCTGCTGGAAATTATTAAAACTAAACACATTTCTGAAGTTGAGCGACGTGACAGCGTTGCCATGGGAAGATTAAGCGTTGGAAATCCGAGATAAGTATTATCGGCTTTGCCTTACGCTGAAACAAATTGGTCAAACTTTAAAATACACTTAGACACGATTAAATTCAGAAGCATTGCAATATGCAGCGCTCCGACCCAGTACTTAGCTAACCTAACGCCTTCTTATAAATACTGCCACATCCGTCTTCGAGATTGCCTCAGTCAAAGGTCTGTAGCACCAATTGCACCTTGTTGATCGGTGTCTTCATCTCACGAGTATCTGCGATACTCTTCGAAGTGGAAAGCAAGGCTTAAGCGCCTCACGACTGTATCGCTTTTCCAACTGCGGGGCAGCTTCGAATTTGGTCTCATGGTGTTTGATTATGGCCACATTAGCAATCCAGGAACTGAATGTGTAACGGGGTACGTAGCACTAAGTGTACCCTGGTTACATGAAGTGTGACACTTCACACTTCAGGAGTATGACATGTCATACTCCGGGATATTTGGTACAAGGTACCAAGGTCATTCAAAACCAACCATTGGTTAAATGACATTGCATTTCTATAGGTAACTGATAGTTTGTATTAACCACAAACTTAACCTACCTATAAATATACTCAGTTTACAATCTACCTTATTTAGGTCACTTCGCTCTCTTTAATTAAAGAGGGGACCTGTGAACTGCCGTTCACTGAGAGTTTGTATACTCTCGGAAGATAACTTCCTCTAGCGCAAGGTGCTGTGTGACCCCGTCACACTTGGTAGCACTTGTTGGTCAATCCACGCCATCGCGGGTAGACTACCTGAACCTCCGAAGTTCGTTGCCATGGATAGGAACGACTTCTCCCATATGAACGACTCTCAGTTCGAGTCGGTTCGGAAGATGGCAGGCATCTTCGGGATGGAGGCCCTGCAGAGCCTGGTGGTATCAACACCGGCTGAGCAGCTCGAGCGCGTCAATGCATTCGACGCGTACGAGCAGGGCCTCATCGCGCATGTGCGGGAGAACCTGCAGGCTCCGGCGGCGGAAGCAAACCCGCCTCACCCGAAGCCAATACGGCTGAAGGTAAAGCCGTATGAAGGGAAGGAAGGCGAGAACCTTCACTTCTGGGTCCGAGAAGTAGAGCTCGCGATGGACGCGGCTCTGATCTCGACCGAGCAACTGCGTGTTGCTTTTGCACTCTCCAACCTTAGCGGTCGTGCTAAGAGTTGGGTGTACACTCGGGAAGCGACATCCCCTGGATGTTTCACATCCTGGGCTCAGCTGTGCGAACAGCTCCGAGCCGCGTTCCTCCCGGCGAACTACGAGTACCGCCAGCGTTCGCGCTTCCTCGCGTGTAAACAAGGAAGACGCGAACTGCACGAGTATGTGCAAGAGATACGGGAGCTCACGGCGTCCCTAGTGGGAAACCCACTCAATGAACACATCAAGATGACTGTGTTCATGGACGGCCTTCGAG